GTAGTTCCTGTAGGTCACCTCCTGCACACACACACACACACACACACACACACGATCAGCTACAAGCTCCCATCACGTCTGTCAAATGTGCCGCCGTTACACGCCAGGGTCAAAGGTCACTGAAGAACACACCTGCACGTGTGAAATTCAAAATATTAGTAAATACCATAGTATAAAATATAGTATATATACTACAGTGAGTATTGCGACACAATCTGTATTGTTAAAAGCGCTATATAAATAAAGGTGGCTTGACTTAAAACAATCTGTATGGTGTGAAGCGCTACATAGAAATAAACCTGACTTGGGTGTATTTCTGTGGTCATTTGCTGTGGACGATGTCTTTCAGAGTGTGTGTGAGCGCTGGATGGGTGTGCGGTACCTTTAGTCCCGATCAGCTCGTAGCTGCTGAAGCCCACCTCAGCCGTCAGGAAGGAGCTGAACTGATCCGGCTTCAGTCTGATGCTCCTGTAGTTCCTGTAGGTCACCTCCTGCACACACACACACACACACACACACACACGATCAGCTACAAGCTCCCATCACGTCTGTCAAATGTGGAAGAGATACACGCCAGGGTCAAAGGTCACTGAAGAACACACCTGCACGTGTGAAATTCAAAATATTAGTAAATACCATAGTATAAAATATAGTATATATACTACAGTGAGTATTGCGGTCTGCTCCTCACTGCATGCAAATGCACAACATTTTCTGGCCAAACATATATAATAAAACTAGAACACCTGATTGATATTTTAGAGTCGTTTATCCAGTCAGAGCTCGTTTAGTGTAACTGTAGCTGGAGCTTCTCGTGTCAGATCTGGACTGGTTTTGATAAAGTAAAGGTCAGAATAACGTCAGTAATATCTCCAGATGAACACTTACTGCACTGAAGCAGCTCAGCTTTACTTGATTCTCCATCAATCATGTTTTAGTGTGCGCGAATGTGAGTGTGTTACCGTGAGTCTCTTGCGGCGGCTGTAGCAGCTCCAGGGCTGGGGTTCGAGGATCAGCACTCCTCCAGGTAACAGGTGTCTGTAGATGCGGTGAAACAGTCTCTGGATTCCAGCGTCACCGTAGTTCAGATGAACCCACTTAGTCAAACTCAGACACAGAATGACGTCGTACTCGGCAGACTGGGACATCACCGCCTCGTCACTGTCCGGCACATAGTCACCCTGAACACACACACACACACACACACACACGATCATCAACAGCAGCTCAGCAGGTTTCAGAACAGAATAACTAGTATGAAATCAGTCTGGGAATGAACTGAAACACACACGCAGGCATGTCAAAGCCTGACACTCAGAAAGTGTGGCTGAACAGACAGATCTCTGATACTTTCATCCAAAATATACACAACTTTATTAACATATAACATACGTAAGCTAGTCAGTCTTCTATTAGTGTTGTCATACTGTGGAAGTCAATGGCTACCAGCAACTGTTTGGTTCCCAACATTCTTCAAAATGTTCAGCAGAAGAAAGAAACTCACGCAGGTTTGGAACGACATGAGGGAGAGTAAATGATGACAAGAAGGAAGCCAAGAAAAGCTTGAAACTGATAAAGTCACACACACACACAGATTACCTTCAGGAAGTAGACGTTGCAGGGGAACAGGCCCGGGACGTGAGGCATTATGGGAACTGTGGCGATGGGTCCACGGCAGCGCGTGAAGGAGACGGGAAACCTGTGTAACGCTTGACCACACAGGCCGAGCTGCAGGCCCATCAGAGGCGCTAACCCCATCTGACCTCCGGCCTTGACCTCTGACCCCTCACCCGCCCACATCCTGCCGCTCTCGTCCAATCCGTGCAGCTCTGACAGGAAGTAGCGCAGGTTCTGTCGGGCCACGTGCACCAGCGCGCCATCGATGTCCACACCCAGCACGCGCTCGGGGCCCCAGTGTCTGGCGATGGCGAGGGTCACGTGACCCGTGTTGCAGCCCACATCCAGGACTTTTTTCCCGCGAAACCACTCGGGTTTAAACACGGCCAGGCGCGGGTCGGCGTTCAGCGACGGGGTGCGGTAACCATAGTAACGGCTGTAGCTTCCGCACTGGAACCTGTGCTGCGTCCTGTGCCGCTGCTGTGGGGTTTTCCCCGCCCCTAGGGGTGGAGCTCCACAGACTCCGCCCACAACAGGAGTGTGAAACGTCTGGCTGTGCGCGACTGTACGCTTGATGGGCGGAGTCGGCGTGATGGACAGGCAGTCCGAACGGCTGTTGGTTCGTCTGCGCTTCCTGTGTTTGGACAGCTGGCTGGACTGCGCCTGAGGGACGGAGCTAGACGAGGAGGGGCGTGGCCGTCGCCGCGGGAGGATGGGCGGCACCACTTCGTCACGGCAGTTGATTGACGTGTTGAGTTTGTAAGGATGCGGCGACTTCTCTAGCGCAGCAGCTGTGTCCGCGACCTTGTCAGGCGCCGAAGTATCGCCAGGAAACAACGGGCCCGACGCCGACCCCTCGTCGACCTTTGACCTCTCACCATCTGAAGGCTCAGCGGGCGCTCCCGGATGGTGTCGGTTGCGATGTCGGCGCCGGCTCTTCAAGGGTGACACTAACACGCCCGCCGCCGAGTCTCCGCCGCGGCCGCTCAGATTCAGAGGGTCGGTGATGTCTTTGGGAATCAGGATCTCCACCGGGTCTCTGTTTTTCCTGGGAAGCGGCGAGGATTTGGGCGTCTGGGCGTTGAGCGCCTTACTGACCTCCTCGTCCAGTAGGCTGTTGAGATTCAGCGGGTCGAAGATGTTCCCGCCCAGCAGGAAGTTGGAGGGCAGCACTGGGTTGCATTCGGAGTTGGCGCGGCGCCTGCGTTTACTGAGGCTCGGGTGTTTGAACCCCACGCTCATGGTGTAGCGCCGCTTGCTCAGTTTCTGCGTCTCGACTGGCGACTGCGGGCCGTTTTTCATCTGGTCAACATGTAGAGTCGCCGCGTCGCCAGCGAGCTCGGTTAGCACCATGTTAGCGGTCACCTCATCCTGAACAGCGACGGGCTGAGGGTGAGCGTGCATACTCGCCCCACCGGCGGCCCGACGCTCACTCTGAACGGACATCACAGCCCACATCCATCAGCCTGAATAATGTCGGCCGCCAAAATCCCTATATAAAGCCACACAGCCGCCCGTGCGCGAGAGATACTGTAATTATGAGACGTGCTCTCTAAAGCAGTGATGATTAAACACAGACTTTGATCTCTGGGACGTTCACGAGTGCTGTGGCACAGCAGACCCGCGCGCTTATATACGCCAGCGCAGACCGACACTGATGGACAGCCGCGTCCGCCAATCAGAAAGCAGGATACGCGCTAAGGCCCCCTGAACGACCAATGGCGAAGCTCGGAACGAAGGCATGTGCTCTCGGTCACCGCCCCTCCTCGTGAATAGGTATCCAGCAGACTGCCTGCGCTGACCCGACACAAACTACTCAAAATCATCGACATCAACAAATATCACCTGCTGAAGACAAAAATGACCTTTTATATTTAATTAGAATTAATGCGTGTGTGTAAACCCAGCCGTCAGGAGCTGGACCCAGGCACCCGTCACGTGTGTGAACAGCCTGACTGAGTTGCTCAGCACTAAACTGTCGATTATAACCGCGACTAGCGACCGAACACAGAGGAACACACGCGCTATTTGACAGCGGCATTGTGAGAGATTAACCCCGACAGCGAGTTTTAGAGACACCCGCCCTCGTTTCTAGGAGAAAGGGAATTCTGGGAAATGTAGTCCTGTAACGTTAGCACAACCTGTAGCTAAACTGTTTTTTCAAACAATATATAGTTTCCCATCTCATCGTTTTAACTATTGTATTTAGAGCGGAAGAAAAGCGAGGCTTGTGATACAAATAGTCAAAATTATGACATAAAAATCTAAATTATGACATACTAAGTAGAAATTATGACAAAAATCTTAATTATGACAAAAATGGAAATTATGATAAAAAGTAAAAATTATGACACTAAGTTGAAATTATGATACAAAAAATAAAATAGTTGCTGTTATCACAGTTTTTGATTCTAATAGATACGCTTATATGGCACCAACATTTTAGACACCAATTAAATTTGACAATTCTCGATTCCAATTTCAACACCACAGCAAAAAGTACTAGCCCAACAGATATAAAGTTCAGACATGATGAAAGACTAGTGAGCAGTCAGTACATGAGCGCTAAGCACAGGTAAATATGTAGAACAACGACAGACATGAAACAGAGCTGCTGTGTGTGTTCGGGTGCTTCTCAATACTGAAGCTGATGTTTGTTCCTCGTCCTCCAGCGTGACACAAGCTGTCTGAGGAGTCACGAGCGAGGAGACACGGGCGAGTCACGAGTGAAGAGACACGGGTGAGGAACGAGCGAGGAGACACGGGTGAGGAACGAGCGAGGAGACACGGGGGAGTCACGGGTGAAGAGACACGCGTGAGGAACGAGCGAGGAGAAACGGGCGAGGAGTCACGAGGGAAGAGACACGGGGGAGGAACGAGCGAGGAGAAACGGGCGAGGCACGAGCGAGGAGACACGGGTGAGGAACGAGCGAGGAGACACGGGTGAGGAACGAGCGAGGAGACACGGGTGAGGAACGAGCGAGGAGACACGGGTGAGGAACGAGCGAGGAGACACGGGTGAGGAACGAGCGAGGAGACACGGGTGAGGAACGAGCGAGGAGACACGGGTGAGGAACGAGCGAGGAGACACGGGTGAGGAACGAGCGAGGAGACACGGGTGAGGAACGAGCGAGGAGACACGGGTGAGGAACGAGCGAGGAGACACGGGTGAGGAACGAGCGAGGAGACACGGGTGAGGAACGAGCGAGGAGACACGGGTGAGGAACGAGCGAGGAGACACGGGTGAGGAACGAGCGAGGAGACACGGGTGAGGAACGAGCGAGGAGACACGGGTGAGGAACGAGCGAGGAGACACGGGTGAGGAACGAGCGAGGAGACACGGGTGAGGAACGAGCGAGGAGACACGGGTGAGGAACGAGCGAGGAGACACGGGTGAGGAACGAGCGAGGAGACACGGGTGAGGAACGAGCGAGGAGACACGGGTGAGGAACGAGCGAGGAGACACGGGTGAGGAACGAGCGAGGAGACACGGGTGAGGAACGAGCGAGGAGACACGGGTGAGGAACGAGCGAGGAGACACGGGTGAGGAACGAGCGAGGAGACACGGGTGAGGAACGAGCGAGGAGACACGGGTGAGGAACGAGCGAGGAGACACGGGTGAGGAACGAGCGAGGAGACACGGGTGAGGAACGAGCGAGGAGACACGGGTGAGGAACGAGCGAGGAGACACGGGTGAGGAACGAGCGAGGAGACACGGGTGAGGAACGAGCGAGGAGACACGGGTGAGGAACGAGCGAGGAGACACGGGTGAGGAACGAGCGAGGAGACACGGGTGAGGAACGAGCGAGGAGACACGGGTGAGGAACGAGCGAGGAGACACGGGTGAGGAACGAGCGAGGAGACACGGGTGAGGAACGAGCGAGGAGACACGGGTGAGGAACGAGCGAGGAGACACGGGTGAGGAACGAGCGAGGAGACACGGGTGAGGAACGAGCGAGGAGACACGGGTGAGGAACGAGCGAGGAGACACGGGTGAGGAACGAGCGAGGAGACACGGGTGAGGAACGAGCGAGGAGACACGGGTGAGGAACGAGCGAGGAGACACGGGTGAGGAACGAGCGAGGAGACACGGGTGAGGAACGAGCGAGGAGAAACGGTCGAGGAGTCACGAGTGAAGAGACACGGGTGAGGAACGAGCGAGTAGAAACGGGCGAGGAGTAACGAGTGAAGAGACACGGGCGAGGAACGAGCGAGGAGACACGGGCGAGTCACGAGCGAGGAGACACGGGCGAGGAACGAGCGAGGAGACACGGGCGAGTCACGAGCGAGGAGACACGGGTGAGGAACGAGCGAGGAGAAACGGGCGAGTCACGAGCGAGGAGACACTGACGAGTCACGAGCGATGAGACACGGGTGAGTCACGAGTGAAGACATGGGCGAGTCACGAGCGAGGAGACACCGGCGACGCAGGAGCGCGGAGACAGGG